AGAGAAACAGTGTCTGAGCCAAGACCGATCCCTGGGGAATACCTGCGTTGACGTTGTGGGATGAAGAGGAGAACCCGTCAATTACGACGGATATCTTGCGACCAGAGATAAAGTCAGCTATCCATCTGCAAAGCTTTTCTGGGAGGCCATACGATGGAGGTTTGCTTAAGAGGGCAGCGTGCCGTAGCTGATCGAACGCTTTCGTGATGTCAAGAGCAACGACATGAGCCTCACCATAAGACTGAATGAGTTTACTCCACAACTGCGTGACCTAAGCTAGAAGGTCCCCTGTGGATCGCTGGTGCCGGAATCCATACTGCCTGTCGCTAATCAAGCTGTGACGTTCAAGGTAGTCCAGAAGTTAGCGATTTATGCACCATCGCCTTACTTATTACAGAAAGCAGAGCTATAGGCCTGTAGTTGTAAGGGTCGGTCTTACATCCTTTTTTTTGATACGGGTTGGACATGAGCAACTTTCCAGTTTTCTGGGAAGCTGCCGGATTCATAAGAGATCTGGAAGAGGCGCGAAAGAACTGAAGCAAGCTCCGCTGCACACCTCTTCAGTACAATGCCAGGAATCAAGTCCGGACCAGATGCTTTGTTGATGTCGAACGACAAGAGCACTCGTCTTACGGTCTTATGCCTGAATGTTACCTCCCGCATAGTGAACGGAACCCTTTGAATTGACGACACTTGGCGTTGGGGGGGATGACCATGGTGGTATTGTGCCTAACTTTTATATCATGCTGGTTTTTGGCATTGCGAACCGCTTCGTTATATTTGTTTCTGGACTCGACGTCGGCTTGTCTGTTCTCTACTGTGGGGTATTGCAAGAGGATTATGTGTGCCTTGATCTTCTGCTAGCGAGCAGTGTCACACGATTTGTTAAACTAGCCGTTGGACCCTGGTTTAGGCACTTTTACTGTATGAGGGATGTATTCCTCCATTCCGACGTGGATAATTTCGGTTATCGAAGAACAGACAGCCGACGCATCCGCGTCAGCGAAACAGACATATCTCCAAGGACAGGTAGAGAAGAAGTCTCTGAGCCCCTCCCAGTCGACATGTCCGGAATGCCAAATTTTGCGGCCTGGGCGAGTTTCTGCTGCCACAGTGGGTTCTGACCGAAACCTAACCTCCACAATACCGTGGTCTAAGTTACAAACGAATCACTTATGATTATGTAGCTTAGTATCAAGCTCTTGATTGGTTAATGTTAAGTTGTGTGCCTATAAGTGAACACTTCCAAACCAATCGTTATCCTCTCTTTTTCTGAATGTAGGCAATGCTTTTCATAAATTTGAAATAAAAGGAAACTAAATGTCATCTACTCACCTAAAACTGTCCATTTATGGTACATGAATCGGTAAAATGCAATAAACCAATAAAAATAAGAAAACTTTCGACTTTTACCTAATTCAAAGTTATGCACAAAGTAGCACTAACTGATTTACGAATTTCTCTGATTAATGATTTACGTTTTCTAGTAAATCGAATACAGACGACAACCACGTGGGAAGCCGCTATAAAACTCTGGGAATGTCTGAATGTGTTTTGTTATGTCGCATTCCAGGAGATGTCGCAAGTCAACGGATTGCGAAATATCATCGTACAACAATAATCGAAATGTGTTTAGTTATTAATTCGGCAGAAGTAACGACTGTTGTTCGTTTTTATTATTTCAATTAGGATCCCACGGTTCGCATTCCGGGGATTCTGATTTCGTAAGATTTTTTTATAATCGTATGAACTATTGTGTCGATTTTTTATCTTGTTAATGTGGATTTGATTACCAAATAACTTTTTATGTATAGTTTTACGTTATCGTACCTTGCGATTAACGTTAAATAGGACGCGTTTTGGTGGTCAATGCGCATTTTGGTATGTTTCAAAATTAACTTGATTACGCATTTCCAAATGAGGATTCGAAATTTAAACTCGTAGACTGCACCATGTGTACCAAGTGCACTGACCAAGCAATACTTCCGTATTCAGCTAATGCTTCGATATAAAATAAACTCAAGTTTAGTCAAGGACTGGCCACTGCTGAAATAGTTCATGGTCTTTCTAAAACAGAAATGACGATTTTTCTCTATCTGCTACGTTTTTCATTATAATATGTTATTAATTAATTTTTCTTTTCATTTTCTATTATGCTACCATATTTTCTACAATAGTCTACCGATATATACTCAATTAAGGAAATAAGTTTGAAATATTCAGATAGGTACCGCATGTTTCAGATGCATAAAGGTGTTGATTCGTTACTATTTTAACAGTTGTACAGAAATTAGTTTTCCTCACATAGGTGGGAAAAATACTCGTAGTTGGTAGTGAACAAAAATAATTGTATGGTTTATATTGCAACTTTTGTTTTGAACGTGACTGATTCTACGTATTTCTATACGAAATCACAGTTATTTGAAGTCTCTACGTCAACGAAAAATCCAAGTATACACCGGAGTCATTATATCCTTTTTGGTGGATACAGGTTTCTGTAGTATGTAAAATCACCCTGGCGCCTGCATAAATTTTATACGTTCATTCGCCGAGATATATTCAGTAAATTATGTTTATTCCTACAAGACCATCGACTTATCTCGTATTACAAATCATTTAAAGTATCTAAGATATGTTATTTGATGCAAATCAGTTGTTAAATTGCTAATAGATTCAAACGTTTTATTGTTTTGGCAATGTTCGTCACATGTTCTGCGAAAGTTATGGTTGTAAAGAAAATTTATTGCTTCAGATGCATATTCCTTCAAAACATATACGGGTTGTGGAGTTTTAAAGCTGGATATTCTTGCCTTTATAAGAAAAACAAAAGAGGAGTATGGTAATAGACGGATACAGTTCTTCACTGTAATCTTTCCACACTTGCATTTTTCTCCGAAGAATAAGCTCTCTTTGTATTACCCATTACCAACTTCCAGTTTTGGAATTGCCCTACCTGTAATTCATCAAAAGCGTGATTCTAAAGGTTCTTATTATTACGCTATTACCTTGGGTAATCTTTACGTAAGTATTTCTTAAGTCCGATTTTCTTAACTTCTTCGAACTTCTCGGTTATCGCAAAGCCTTGGACTTTTCACGCTGCTAAAGAGCTTCTACGTTTTGGTATTGATATGTACTTTCATACGCAACTGCCATTTTTGTCGATAACCAGCAAGACTTTTAAATTCAAATCTGTTCAAGTTGCAATGAATATTTCTATCCCGCAGAGAAACCGTGCGTTTCCTTGAAATGCTGTATTAAAATACCTGAGTGATGCTGTTATCGAAATCATTGGAACAGCCCAACAGTCCATACCTACGGAAATAAGACCATTTTGGTTTTAAAATTTTGTTATGTGACAATATCTGATTCTACCCAAATGGTCTATCCGGATGCTCATACAATTTATAATTTACATTATAGCTACTTCAATACACACTTCATCACCATACATAGATTTCGCACAGATATGGATCCGGTATGACTAGTAGAGTAGAGTGGTTTCTTCCGACTTATGATACAAATCGATGTTTGTCAAATGATCACACCAGACTCAACATAATGAGAAATGTATCACTTTAGTTTGCGATGTCAATTAGAAAACGTCAATGCGAATTGAAAACAAATGTGGATATTTCCTATGTCGATTAAATCGAATTACATTTGCAGTGGCATACTTGGTTACTTAATAGGGTTACAAACTTTTATTCTTCGTGTATGTTCAAGAACAGCGTCATCCATGAACACTGGGCAGGTTTTTTAATATGCGGAAAGAAATTCTCCTTTAATAACTTGTAATATGGATTTTTGTGATGACCCTGGATTCAACCTTGAACCTTATCTACAAAGTCATTTCAAAATTAACTTTTTAACTAAGATACCGGCAATTGGAAATTTTACGTTCTACGTTTTCATATACTATCATGACTATAAAAGTAAGACACGAGGTCAAATCCAAGGTCAATCTTGAAATCCTTGTTAAAAGGTATTAAACATTTGGTCCTGTTGTTTTATCAGTGATAATGCTGAAGTTTTAGGAACGTTCGCTAGCTTCACATATTTGTTCTTCATTGGAGTTCTTGATCTTGAATTTTAATACATATTTGTATGTAGAATTTTAAGTTTTCGATTACCAGTGTCAAGGGAGCTTTCCATATCAAAAGTTTGCCTTGAAATAAACTTGAAGGTGAGGATCAAAGTCAAATCCAGGTCATCATCGAACTCCTTGTTCAAAGTTAGTAAGACCTGAACTTTACAAAAATATCTTACCTGAAAAAGGACACACCCATTCCGTTACTTTTGTTACACTCGGTATATACACTTTTCTAGAAATACTTAAAATAAAGTGATATTGACTGGAAGATACCTTTTAGGAAATAAATTGGTGTAGTACATGAAAATATTAGTAGTTTGCTTTTTGATCTCGATACATTTATTTTTGGCCGCGATATAACAAGTTTGTCGCTCTCAGCGTTTTTAAGCATGATGGAGCATGACGCATGACATCTTCCTTTTCACTTTTCCAATGTTCTCGTAAGAAAACAAAAAAAATGTAAAGTACTACTTCTATATCAAATTTCCTCGGCTTTCTTAGTAGTAAAACCGTTACAGAAAATTGCTAGATGTAAAGGAAAGGAACACATTAACATTTAAACGGAAATGTTTTCATAACGTCGTTTGTTTCGGATGGAGTGAGGAATAGATTTTTTTTCCTAGTACTACAACAAATTTCAGCTTGTAGACAAAACTCCTAAGGGCTGAACTAAGTAGCATAAAAATTCAAGGATCTGTATGACTTGAAATCCCTTACTTTTTTCGTTACGCCGCTGTTGATCTACCACTGAGCATCGTATTCAATCCGGGAGTGCGGTTTAAAACTGTTTTGATATTTTATCCATACCGTAAAACGATATGGCCTGGAACTTCGTTGCATATAAAATATTCAAATGTATATCAATGTTCTAGTTATTACTTTGTTCACATATGTTTTTTGTTTGTTGCAGGAAACCAACCAGGAAAGGCAACACTCTGTTTGTTTTTATCATGGTAAGTGTCTAGATTTAATTGCCTCAGTTCTAACTGAATTATTATTTATTCTTAGCTAATACCATATTTCAAAAATGTATAGGTAGAGACAGATGAAAAGGTTTTTAATGAACTAGACAAGTCCTAGTGGTTTTGTCTGCTAGTATCAGAAGGTAACTCACTCAACAATGGAAAATTCTTTTCCTAAAGGCCAATTCTCATTCTCTAGATGAAAATGAAGGAAACAGTGCAAGTTTTCGCTATCACCCAACAGTGGTTATCTCTAATTTTGTACATATATAATAAAACAAATTTACAAATATCCATTATTTGGTGAAAACTGGACCCATTCACGAACGTGTTTAATAACCAAAAATGTTTCCATTAACTTTTCTCTAAAGCTGTCCATTTTCGAATTATAAGCGATGTCTGAAAAGCCCTTAAAATGTATATATTCAATGCTTAAAAACCGGTTAAAAATTATAATTATTGAGGTCGCCAAGTTTCTAAATTAAGCCTTCCTTTACAAGAGCCCGATTAGTATTTTGAGATTACTTTATTTTAAAGCGATTTTTAACATTTTGTGTTAGGCCAAAGCTGGCGAACTTTTGGTTTTGGCAGACTGTACTATGCTGTTTAGATAGCTCTCATGTCGTGTCCGCGACCCTTAGAGAAGTGGTGAAACAATCCTTTTTGTATTTACCTAAACCACCACAACCTGCATTACACCAGCAAGGTTTGAAAGTTGCATACCCATAGGATACTATATGAAATATACGTTGGAGCAAGATGTGGCGGAAATAATATGAAATATTGCATCTAGCTGCTTGCAACAACGAGGTTTTTTATACTGGTGCAGCTGCGTAGGCAGAAACCCAAATACCGTGGGACCACGACTGCTAGATCTTGCTAATGCGATATTTGGACTGCGGTTAGCGGAACAGAGAATAGCCTCCTCAGATAGGAACAAAGGAACGGTTGTACTGGTCGTGGTATGAAGTTCGACATAGTTGGGCTGGAAGGCAGAATCCTGGAAGGTCCATCTGGTAGGCTTAACGCGTAGCGGCATTATGACTTGATGGTAGAAGACAGTCAGATCGCCGACCGTCCGTCGGTGCGAAGGGGTCCCGTTACAGAAGGCTTGTCACACGTAGTGCCTGCGTGTCGAGAACTTTCATCAGCAAAGTTGTGTATCGCACTGATCATACAGTAGAGGAGAATGTTGATATGTAATAGAAACAACTTTTTTTAACCAAGACCGGGAACGCAGGGAACACCCACGTTGACACTATGGGATAAAGAGGAAACCCGTCAGTTACGACGGATATTTTGCAGCTGGAAGGAAAGTCAGCCAGCCATCTTCAAAGTTTCTCTGGGAGGTCACATGATTAGGAAGGCGGCATATTACAGCTGATCGAAAGCTTTCATGTTATCAAGAGCATGAACCTCACTATAAGACTGGATAATTTTACTCCACAATTGTCATCTGTCACCTTATCGTATGTAGCTAGTCAACAGTAGTGCTCGAGATACTCCAGAAGCTCCCGATTGGTGCACAACTTCAGTGCTATATGATTATTGGTTCTGATGTTTGCTCTCCACGATTCGGAAAGAGCTTAATAGGATTAGAAAACATCTTATATTGTATAATCTCTTAGTAGGCAGCGCTCATAGTTAGTGATCAGAACGAATTTTGCAAAAATCACAGGCTGACTAAGACTCGCAGTTACATGATGAAGCTACCGGCCACCGATTTCCCCAAGTATCGTATTTCAACTGTTTCGAGATTTCATGCGTGCGGAGACCCCGTTGCGTGCCATGACGAGTGATATTCCGAGTGGTACCGTTCCATTGCGTCGGCGTCGCTGGCGGTACCTTCCAGCAGGCCGAAAGAATGGCCCTTTTGTATTCGCGCGCGCACGAGGGTACCAATTAAAACTGTCGGAGAATGTAACAAATCAGCGACGCGCCAGCTGCACCATAATGAGATCAGGTGATTATATCTTTGTTTATTGGGCGCCAACCGAGTACGACTGGCCTGCCCACAGAACTAAAAATTAGAAAGAATGGATAAGCTGTCACTGAGCATGGCATTTTGCAGTCCGCCTAGAAACTGACACGAATGGAGCGTGCGCATTCGCAGTACGTTCCAGTCAAGAGAGTACTCTGCAGTATTGCCAATTGGCTGACATTTCCCTGATTTTCGAAGATAATTAGGAGATATCGACCAATATGGTCTGACGAGGAATTTTAAAATTCTATAAAAAGATATTTCTAATTCGTCTGCGACCTCGATATTAAGCATAGAATGAAGTAATTGTTTAATCTACGTGCATAAGTTAGATAACGAAGGTTATGTGTGTGTCTTTAACTATGAGGTTAAGTGCCTTAGGATTTGCAGCATGGGTTTTTGTTCTGCATATTGTGGAAAATATAGCCCTGAGTCGGTTAAATGCGGATCTCCGTTGAAGGCAGATAAATCAAAGAATTTAGCTTCAAAAGGATGTAAAAGTTTTGTGAGAAAAATCATAAGATCCATTGGTAAACGAGACGCCAAAGATTGCGCATGCGGTCGTCTCCCTAATATCAAATACTAGAGGGATTGCGTAGAAAATTGGCATACCTGAGCCAGATGTCGTGCAAACAGATGCAAAAATGATCATATTCACACCATCGGTGGCTAAGAACAGAGTTGTGCTATTCCGTGCGTTAAAAACACTGTGTACTAAGAGATGGCGCAGCACTAGTTCACGGTACACTGTATGTGAAAGTTTAGCTAAGCACGTAGCTTAAATAGGCTGGTAGGTATTGCGCCATTTCTTTGTCCGGTGGATAAATACCCACGGTGTAAACATGGCTAATAACTGTCGGTCCCTAGGATCTTTGTGTCACCAACTAATTGTCAACTAGAAAGAGAATAACTTTGCCTGGAGAGGCCAAATCTTAATGATACTACCAGAAGCTTTTCGATTTACAAAAAAAACTGTGCTTTCATATATTAATTGCATGTTACATTAAATAATTCTATTATCTGATGATCTCTTGAGTAAAATATCTCTAAAACATACATGTTTCTATTACTTGATATACTTTCTTAAATTGTCAAAATGTGTCAAAATTACAGTGACGGAAATCCTACCAAACCTAACGTAACCGATTTTTGGTAAGCTTTCGTCTCTGGTAGTACTCTATGCCGATATATTCCTCTAATTTTTACTTCTGTGGGTGAGTGCGACTTGAGCAGTGAGAGAAGGAAGCCCCTTATATGTAAAACAATTATAATTACACTTTTCACCGCTACGCGCACTGCGCTGGTGCGAGTTTACTGGCCACCAATAATAATAAATTGCCGAGCGAAAATTGCGCCGGCTTTGACGCCATTTAATTAGGCGTTTTTTGCATCATCGCAAGGTTTCAAAGTGCTTGTGAAGTGCGACAGACGGATGCACACAGGAGTTCTGCGTTAGTAGTGGCAGATATTCCACGAACTGTGATTTGGTAGTTGATACTCGTATTCCTGAATCACGGATTACGTCTGTTATCAAATAAGCTTGACGTAAAATTATGATGGCCTGCAACCGATATGGTGCCATATAGGTTTTGGTAGCTCGCTTCGGTGATGTCAGTATACCCATAACATCATCGCTATCGGAAACTCGTGATCACGTCACTTTTTTAGATCACTGACATTTCTACAAATCAGTAGTGCTACCTTAAGGTACTACCACGCTATGGTATCTAGCCAGAGTAAGCAGACTTTCTATCACTGAGGTTTCTTGTACATATTCAAAGTACCACAGACATGTAAAAAATCTTTTGAATTCGACACAAATAGTCTCCTGTAAGCAAACCTTCCCTACGAGGGTGTAGATGACCAAACGATGCAAAATGCTTTCTGTTGGATAATTCCTCTTCAAAAATCCAATCTCAAAACATGTGCAGCTTTGCAGTGATTAACAAATCCTACAGTACTAATGCTGACTTTCACCCCCAATATAATAATGCTAGGCACTATTTTGCTGTCTGAGAGATACGCACTTTGATTATACATGTTTGTTTTCCCTCGGTCTGCCTATAAAATTAGAAACAGCCAATCCCGTATGCTTACATGGCAGTGCTAGTCGCCTAAACACCGAAGAATGCATACTTTTGGGTAGGTTTCTCTACCAGTGTCTACCAAGGTGATAAACATCGGCATACATTCTTTTCTCTTGAAATACTGTGCTGCGATGTGAATCGCTCAGATATTGGCATAAATTAAATAAGGCAAACGAACGCAAGCAAGTATGTATTAAAGGCATATGAACAATTCTGCTCAATTCGTGATTTTGGAAGGTGAAAAATATATTGCAACAATGGCGGAATATTGGAAGTAGTGGGATAGCTTGCTTGAACCCTTTTCGTTTTTTTTTATATAACTGTCTATGGTGTGTGTGATCCGATTAGAATCTTAGCTAGAAGTGAATACCTAGTTGAAGATACTCAACCGTCACTATATCGATCCAATAAAAATATTTAGAATTGATTCATTGAATTTTATATTCGTACTTCCGCAACAAAATATCGTGGCACTAAAATGAAAAAAGTTACTTTTCTCAATGCAGAAATAAAGATATTTCAAAATGAAGGTGTATAAGACTCAATGTTAAGGTTTCGGTTGGCTCTTGTCTGTACCCATCTAAAATTTTGGATTGTCTCCAATATTTTGCGTTATTCAGTGTTGTGTTAGGTTAACAAACCTTATAATGGGACTGATAATTCAAAGAAGCAGGAAATGGAATAAAATAAATTGCCTCACAACTGTCCAGGTATTTTATACCCTTTCACAACGCCGATGACTGTAATATATTGACACTTATCTATAAAAAAAACTGCGTTTATTAAGTATGGTATCTCCTATCCACAAAGACTTTCAGCTATTTTGGCAATTTTCTGGAACACTAGAACTGTATTGTACAGCACTTAAAAGTGTTCACAGAAGAATACGAATTTAATGCGGAATATCAACAATTTATCTTAGCCTCATCACCCTTGCATCCTAGCGACTGACTACTTAATTTTGGATCAAAAGTCTAACTCCTTCTGCCTAGTCTAAATTCGTTGGGTCTGCAAAAAAATCCAACCAACACGATATCTTCTGCTTTATGTATGTGCTGACCTGGTATCATTCGTCAACAGCTTGTCATAAAACACTACTTAAGGGCGACACAGTTAACTACTGTGACTGTGATGTAATTAAACCTTTTTCGAAATCTGCAAATAGAAGCGCTCTACATCCAAATAGCTTCACATCACAAATCACAATACTGTTTTCTTCTATTTTTTTTTGTCTTGGTCATAGAATCATGGATATCTTTTCGGCTTGTCCCTTGAAGCTTCATCACTGGACATTTTAGTTTAATATTAAATTAAAATCTTATTCAGTGGTGAGGTAATGGCGCTGATCTACCAGTTTGTACCTGATATACGCACAGAAATCAGTACAAATGGATATGACTGAAGTGGGGGAGGTGGAGTGAGGGATGTGCTATATTTTTTGTTCCATCTTTTTTCGAAAAAAATCTGGAAATATTTGACTTATTTCAAAAAAAAATCGTCGGAGATGACGTTTTCGGTAAGTAGTCTCATTTCGGTAGAAATGACCAAAAATCGGTAGGTTGCACAACACTACTTATTCCGTAACCGCCAAAAGCCGTGAAAAGAACTATGCTTCCCGTAGAATCGTCCTGGAGAAATAAGCATAATTTAATCGCTTTATATTGTCTTACAAATCTTGGAAATTTATGCTGGCGCCTCGGTGATTTTACATTCGATAGAAACTTGTACCGACCAAAAAGGATATAATGACATACAACGGGCTTTTTGTTGACGCTAGAAGTCAAATAGCTGTAATTTCGTCTGAATTCAAGGAAATACGCGGTATTTGTGAAATCCAACAGTGTTGAATTTGCATTATAAACAATATGTCTTATTCTTAGAAAATGTTCTTGTAACTTGTAAACGAACGTATTTTAAGGTCACCACTGTTTCAACTGAAAAAAATATCAAATTGTTATACCCTTTTCTGCATGAATTTTAGGAAGGCAAGGTCAACACAAGAAAAAAAATTGCACATTTATTTAATTACCTAAGATTATTTAATAAAAACAACTGGAAGTTATTACAAACTCGGAAAGCATACAAAAATATCCACATTTTGAGAGCCTAAGGGCCATATAATCAGTCGTTTCTACAATTGTAGGACGGCTTTACGGCCTCGTTGACGCTCATAGCCTTTTCTCTCCTTCAAAAAGGTTGGGGTATTTCTAGATTTCTCCTATTCCGTGCCAGCTTCAGCGCTTTCCTATGGTAAGGCTATGTTTTCTTTTTGAATTGTCGAAAATTTTAGGCTGATATAACAGATGATATCAATCAAAAGGATGAACAATTTGATGCAAATAGATATTTGTAGCATTACCTCAAAATAGAGCACTGACACGGAACAGTAGAAAACTATGAAAATCAAGGAGGCCATAAAGACGTCCTTTAATTGTTTAATGTCTTTATCACCTCCTTGATTTTCATAGTTTTTCCTGTCCTTCAGTCAGTCAGGGGTATTTCTAGATTTCTAATGTTCCGTGTCAGCACTCTATTTTGAGGTTATGTTACAAATAACTATTTGCATCAAACTGTTCATGGTTTTGATTTTCATCATCTGTTTTATCAGCCTAAAATTTTTTACATTTCTTAACCTCACAATAGGAGAGCGCCGACGCTGACTGGGAACAGTAGAACTCTAGAAATCAGCTAGCCTTTCTGAAGGAGAGAAAAGACTATGAAAATCAAGGAGGTCAAAGTCCTCTTACCAAAATGCAGAGTATTGAAGAACATCTACAAAACCAAAAAAAAATATATATCTACTGAACACTGCAAAGGTCATAAATGCATAATTAACTCAGCATATGCTACTCAAAAAAACTGCTTTGGCTCAGCAAAACCAGAAGTGCAATGATAATTTGCTGCCTACCGGAAGCTATTTCCTACGCGACTGACGTTTTGAACTACTACTGCATTTCTAGATGAATCATCTAACATTTTGGCTCGAATTTTAGATATACTATTGAAATCTTCTTACTATTTTATATTCGGAAAGATATGTTTTGATCGTCTAAGGTGTAACAAAATAATATTGACACCGCATTGCAATATCATTTGAACAATAATTTTTAATCAGTGGCATACATGCCCTGTATTTTGGCAGACGGGGTTTAAATTCGGAGGAGGCTTTCGTCAATTTACTTTTTGACTTAGCTACAAAATAGAAGCTGAAAACATAGTTTGCTAAAATTCTGTTTCGTTTGTTCCAGCTTTTGTTTATTGTGAAAGTGACCTTCGGCCATGGAAAATGCTACAAGCCGTGCTTCGGTCCCGTGTGGAAGGTGAAGATATTCAACGAACTTTCGAACGGGTACCTTCACGTCGAAGGCCACACGGTGGTAGCAAACTACACAGAAGATGGTAAGCTTTCAATTTCTCAAGCTCAAATTATGGCATTTTCAAGGAATGATATGGCTTTTAAGAAGGCCATTAGAGCCTCTAGACTATTTACGGTGGCAAATGCAGATTTAGACGATCTGCATATTCTGCAACACCATCATCAAAATTTTTACTTGGTATACGGTATTCAGCTTACCCAGGCCTGCTTTTCAATGCCTAGGTTTGATGCCAAAGCCACCTACTCTTGTATACCTGATGGGATTTTTGACGTATGAGTGCATCAAGTGATGCCCTTCGGCAAACGTCTAGAAATACTTGGCAAACTTCATTGGAAGTTTATATACAAACCGAGACCATTATTAAATTATGCAAATAAGTGAAAATAAAAGATGATAATAAAATTTCTGTGTAAAAGTCACGATCCATTATGCATATTATATATATAAATGATATTACATAGTACGAGTAAAAAAAATATTGTCATGAATCGTCTCTACTTGAACCGTAAAAATGAAATACCTCACGACTTTCCACTCAAAACCTCACAAAACTCAACCTATATCTACCCTTACACACTGCCTTATATACCCTAGCATATAACACCTTCTTCATAAGGAAATCTGTAGTGCTAAGGTTTATCACTAAGTTTGTAGCGCCATCTCAGGGACATCCTCCGAACTTTTTATAGAACCTATACGAACTGTTATAGAACCCTTCAAAAATATCGAATACCTAGCGCCGTCTTTGGACTTCCCTAAATTTGAATCAAATATTCAAATTATACAGGGTGCGGCCGAGAGGATGGACGGTTTTAAAAAAATCATAAAATAGTTAATTTTTACTCGGAAACAAATTTATTGATGGAATCAGGTTCACAAGGAAATAGCATTTGAGACAGTCAAGTGTGGAAAATCATATCAGGCATGTGGTGGCCGAAATCGTTGATGCAGTGCTGGAGGCGTTCTTGGAAGTTCGCTTTCGTAACTGTTGCACAATGGCCAATTTGTAGGGGTGAAAGCGGAGATCCATATGCAAAATTCGCCTTACCGAACGATCACTAAGGCGAAGCGCAGCAGCATGTTTCCGGGCAGATCGATTCGAACTGCGAAGAAAGACCTGTCGAACGCGTTCAACATTTTCAGGAGTTCAAACTGTTCGCGGCGCTCCTCTTGGTCTTCTGTTGATCAGTTCACCACGCCTGCGAAGTGATTCAACCCAACGAAGGATGGTGTTTCGAGAGGGAACAGCTCTATTCCGATTAATGTTGAAGTGGCGACGAAACTCACGCTGTACGACGATGACTGACTCATTATTTCGGACGAAACAATCATAGGCGAAAACGCGGTGCTCCACCGTCCAAGGCTCCATAACGACAACTGGTATTGCTAGGATCTCACGAGTCAAACGGCACCCTCCCCACCTCTCTCGTAGACGGAGGCGGAGAGTACTACCCATCCCAAAAACGTCCGTCCTCTCTGCCGCACCCTGTATATAAGGTATTTTAGGTAAAATAACGCTCAACCTGATTATGTTTTTAACATGTGTATTTTTTTAATACAATACATAAAAATAACAGTTATGCAAGTTGTTAGGAATCTAAAAGTAGTCGGTATTACCGGTGTACTTGAACAGCATCCTATTGTTGTCAGGCATGCATTGCCAGGGATCTCTTATCAGTGTGACAGTGCCTTGTTATCTCTTTATAAGATAATGTCATCCATAGTTCAGGAGATATGCGATGTCCATGTGTTTTCTGCACGTGGTAGTACCTATGTAAAGTATAAAATAACAATCTTCTTGATAACAAATGAGTAATTAATTTATAAAATTAAAAATAGGAAAATTTTTAAATAAGTATTAAATTACTAAAAATAAAATTAAAATATTCTTAATAAATTCAAAAATAAATTTCAACGTGTCTGAGCTTTTTCAAAAAAGGAATATACTGAAAGTAACTCGAATAAAAAATAAAAATAGCTACCTTTAGCAGTTGCTGAACTTCTAGAAGGAGTAGTTAACTTGATGTCTTCAAATAATTCTGCTTTTTTCACCTATGATTAAAAAAAATAAAAATAAAAGGAGTTGAAAACCACATACAAATATTTGACTGAATATTATTTTATACAAACAAGTTTGAAAATTTATTAATTGATTGAATTAAATTTAAGTTTTTTTTTAAACTAAATACTTGCAAAATATATCCTGAAACATACCTACATCTTAAATGTTTTGGGGGAGTTGAATTCAAGTCTTTAGATGAGCCTGGTCTTGGATGTTCTGAGGAATGTTCAATATTTACTAAACATTTTGCTAATATAGAAGTTTTTCTTTTAGGACTTGTGTGAGTATATTCAGTAGTACTTTGGATGTTACACTTCTCTGTTGCTGAGCCGTCCTGGTTACCTGAAAGTTATTTTTTTGTTTAAAGTGTGTCAACAAATAGCTGAAGTAATTAGACATACATATTATAGCTCTCACTTTATTAATGTACATTTTGAACAAGTTTCTAATATTTATAAATCTGTCAGTATCTAAAGTAAAATAACTATTTTTAAACTTACCTTCTTCATATATGTTTTCTTGGACCAACTTGGTGTCTGTTGAAGAACTCTTCAATAGAGTTGTTTTAAGGGTCTCTCTCATTTTTGCAGCCAACGGATTAGCAATTTTCCTACTACCTTCATGAGTTTCGGGACTACTCTGAACATTTTCCGAAACCATACCTAAAAAAGATTTGAATTTCATTATATGTTTGTAATGCTAGTTTTTCAAAAAATTGTGGAAACCATAAATACTGTGAAACTTGTTAGGATACCAAAATTTTCGTATCATCTAATCCTGATTATTCACTGATTGGTTTAAACAAAATTATTACTTACTTGAAGATGTAATGTAGGAAAACCTGTTCTTTTCAAACCTCTCTTGGTTCCAGGCACTTTATCACTTTTCGAAAAATGTAAGTCGCACACCAAATAGCTTTTATAAATTTGTTCGTGATTTTCATTGACTAAAATTGGATTTGCTCGATCCATTTGTTGAAAAGTGCGGCATCATACTTTGGAAATGTATGCCTTTTACTGATTGTATCAGTACAACCAGGCACCACGCACTTTTTAAATTCCCGTTTTCGATAAGCCTCCATTACAAAAAGTAAGTTTGTTAATTGAAATTCAGTTAAGGCTCAATGAATATCAGTATCACCGACACAGAACTAATAAAACGCCGGCGCCGCACACGATTCAACTTTATAATTAACGTCAAAGCATTGAACTGTCAAAAAGAATGGAAAACGTAGTATCAGCGCCACTCTGTCGTTACACTCCGTACTAAGTATATAAGAATATCTGGTTGCCTACAAAACGCACCTTCAAAGTCACTCATTTAACTTTCCCTTATAAAGTAGGTGTTATGTGTACTCTAGTAACAAATTCAAGAGGTCTACAAATCTTCGCTAAACATTTCGAAAGATCCAGAAACAAACAAAACTGACAGCTATCTGACAACTGACAACATACCTAACCTACGACTCCTTACAATTTGACAATGCATGACAGCGCTCAAACTGTGGCCCAACGCACTATACAAGCTGTTATAATATACTCGACATTGTATCACCAAAGTAGAAGAAAAACGTGTTATTGGTCAGAAAGTATGGAGAGTTGCTTTTTCCTGAACAACTGCAATGAGGTTATATCTCTGGATACATCTATCAGGCGCAAAGCTCGTTTTAGGGCCTCGCACTAGGGGTCCTTGTGTTTGAATAAAAGGCCTAATTGATGATGATGGTTACAACCCGTTGCGGCGCACATGCTGTATTGTTGTAAAACTTAGGAAATAGAATTCAAAGCAAGAGCGTTGCCAGCGGGGGGGCAGGGGGGCAGTTGCCACCCCCCCCCCTCCCTAGAGACCCTCAAAAATGTAGTGAAATGCAAATCAATAAAATTTACACTCACTTAACGTACTTGATCGATCATTCCCGCACTTCGAAACTACAACGATTTCACCATTTCCGTTCCTAGTAATAAAAGTCTAAGTTATAATAAATATAATAACATAATTTAATTTAAGTTTTGTTTACCGTACCGCCAAGAACTCGTGGAGATTCACACATTGGACGTTATACTGTTCTTATCATAATCACCATACTACACGTGTAAAATTGATGTGCTATTGACTTTACCTACAATTTATACAATTCTCATTCATCGTATGAACTTGCGCCCCCCCCCCCCCCTGAGCTATTGGCTGGCGACGCCCTTGATCCAAAGCCATACTTAAGTGCGCTCAAAAGGCCTGGCGCTTGAAGTATGCTCCAATTATACTTCGCTATACTCGTCCAATTAGATCACACACGTAGTAACACCATTTATGCTTTGTCGAGCACAACATTTTTAAAGGTACCCCGTATACAAACAAAATACCTATCTATCTTGCGTTTCTTATCGGCCCAGGCATATGAATCATTACACTGTTGTGCTTCGTCGAGTACGGACCGGTTTATTTACATTTTGGTGGAAATTCGTGAAATGCCGAAGCGAAAAACAAGTAGTGATGCTGCAAGATTGGAGAGAAAACGGCGAAAACTAATTAAGAGTTTAGAGAAAATTGACAAGAAAAGTCGGCGAGGTGATAGGTGTAAGAGCACTAGTAAGTTGTTTTTAGGTAAAATCGTTAAACCTAATGTATTAAGAATGGGCTAGAACCGTTAAAGCCTTTTGCAGTTTTCACATAACGTGAAAAACATATAAATAGGGTAAAACCGTTAAACCCAGGACATATTCTACAGAATATGTTAAGGATATTGCATGCGCAAGTAGGTGAGGACTGTATATATTTTTTATGTGAATCCAGCTCTGATTCTGATTCATCAGGAAGTATAAGCAGTGTATATAGTACGGGACAAACGTATACACATTTAGAGCCAGAAGTCATAATCAATGAGGCAGAGAGGTCTCCTCCTGTAATTGAAGAACAATCTCAAGATGAAAATCTGGAAATTCCGTCGGGAAGTGAGCCAGTATTAGGAAGCGAGGTTCACAAATCTCTGGCTGATCGATGGACCAAGTACGTGACATTAGGTTTAGAGAAATCGGACAAGGAGGAGTTGGACAAAAAATACCTGATTCCCAAAAATATTCCTTACTTACGAGCCCTTTTGTTGAACCCGGAATTGGAAGCAACCTTAGGTGATCCTGTCAAAAAAGAGGACAAATATGTTTCTACTATTCAGAAGCATGTGGGCGTAGCACTGGCTGCCATCGCAGGGGTAATTGATGGTATGTTGAAAGAAGATGTAGCAGCACCGGATGCAGCCTCGATGGTTTTTAAATCCAAAATGTTACCCAGTGTGGTGGACGCTGGCAAAATTTTGTGTGGCGTTTTGCACATGATGTCCACAAACCGGAAATATCACGTAGAAGGGCACTTAAACTCTACAGTGAAGAAAATCGTCAGAGAAAGTAAACCTGACGAATTTTTGTGTGGTAAAAATTTTGCCGATAAATTCAAAGAGGTTAAGGCCCAATGGAGAACGGGGAAAGAAATGAAGAATGCTCATCCATCTTCGTCAAGACAGCTGCCATCTACCTCAAATAACGTTTTTCCTGATAAGTCCTTCAGAGGTAACCTCATGCAGAGACCTTCGGTATCTTTAAACTACCAGCCTCACTTCCACAAAGGAAGAATGAAAGGTCGCCCTCAAGGAAGAGACCGGGCTCAAGGGAAGGATCGCCACGACAAAGTGTACCAGAGACGCAATTACCAGTAATAGAGGTGGGTACCAGTGTATATGGTGGCAGAATAAAACATTATATGGCAAATTGGCGGCAATTTACTCAGGATAAGACCATTTTGTCGTGGGTCAAGGGATATAAGATGCCATTTTTCAAAAATCCTTTTCAATATAGTTATCTTCCAAAGAAAATGCAGGACGATGAGATAAGACACTATTCCGCTGCCATCTTGGATTTAGTGAACAAGGGAGTAATCAGTCAATGTCAACCAGTAGAGAACCAAATTTTATCTCCCTATTTTCTTATACCAAAAGCCGACAAAACAAAACGTTTTATATTAAATCTAAAGTATCTCAATAAGTTCTTGAAAGCACCTCATTTCAAATTGGATAATTATAAATCTGTTAAAGATTTAATTTCTCGAAATATCTACATGGCTACAATCGATTTAAAAGATGCCTATTATATGATACCAATAAATAATAGAGATAAGAAATTTCTTAGATTTAAATTTGCGGAAAAACTGTTTGAATTTAATTGCTTGCCTATGGGTTTATCTACGGCACCCTATGTTTTCACTAAGCTTTTAAAACCAATATTTAATTATTTTAGGCAACTCGGAATCCTGGGTATAATTTACTTGGATGATATTTTACTGCTAGGAAAAACTAAAAGTGAAGTAGATAAGAGTATAGCTATAGTGTTGTCCACTTTGAGAAAATTGGGTTTTTTAATAAACTTTAAAAAATCAAAAATTGACCCGAGTCAAGTTTGTGAATATTTAGGATATGTTTACAATAGTCAGAACATGACATTTTATCTTCCCAAACATAAAAACAGGCAATTTTAAATGCAATTAATACTTTTGTTAGGAAGAGAACATGTAAAATAAGAGAGTTATCAAGTATTATTGGATTGTTAGTTTCAGCTTGTCCGGTTGTACAATACGGATGGTTGCATATTAAGAGATTAGAACGAGCAAAATTTTTGAGTTTAAAGAGATTTAGAAGTTATAATTCTAAAATTATACTATCAAAGATTATTTGTAGGGAACTATTGTGGTGGAAACAGACAATAGACACATCTTTTAATGATTTGGGTAGTAAAGAATATGCTTACGAAATTTATACAGACGCTTCCAAAACGGGATGGGGGGCTGCATGTAATACAGAAGTTACCCATGGGTTTTGGGATCAAGAAGATATGAAACATCACATTAATTTTCTCGAACTTTTGGCTATTCATTATGCATTGCAGTGTTTTGCTTCAGAGTAAAAAAAAACTGTAACATTCTTCTGCGTGTAGACAATAAAACGGCCATAGCCTATATAAATAAAATGGGAGGCATACAATTTGAGAAATTGAGTAATCTAAGTAGACAAATATGGCTATGGTGCGAAAAACGGGAACTAATGCTCTATGCTTCATATATACCATCCAAAGATAATATAATTGCTGATGAACAATCGAGAATTTTAAATATTGAGATGGAATATTCGTTAAATAGTAAGAATTTTTCTAAAATAGTAAAACAGTTTGGTAAGCCTAATATCGATTTGTTTGCATCTAGGATAAATGCTAAATGTAATACTTATATTTCATGGTTGAAAGATCCAGGAGCCTTAACATCTGATGCATTTACAATTAAGTGGGATAAATCCTGGAAATTTTACGCGTTTCCTCCTTTTCCCATAATTGGACGGGTTTTGAATAAGCTAATTAAAGATAAATCTAAAGGAATACTTGTAGTTCCCTACTGGCCCAATCATTCATGGTTTTCTTTGTTTCTAAGACTTTCGTCAACAAAACCCTTAATTTTTAAACCCAATAAAAGCTTACTTTTATCTCCATTTAGAACCAGCCATCCATTTTGGAAGAACATACCCCTAGTGGCGTCGATATTATCCGGGGATCTTTTGTAGAAAAAGAAGTTCCTGAAGAAGCTATACCATTAATGATTAAATCATTAAGTGAATCTACATTGAGGCAATATAGTGGTACTCTCCGTAAATGGTGGGTTTACTGTAAGGAAAATAGACTGAGACCATACGTCGCAAGTGTTGGTCATATTATCTCCTTTTTAAGCCTTCTCTTTGAGACAGATATTTCTTTTGCGACATTAAATGCTCATAAGTCTGCCTTATCTTTAATTTTGAATATCTCATCTACAGATGAGCAATTAATTAAGCGTTTTTTGAAAGGTGCCTTTCGGGAAAAACCTAGTTTTTCTAAATATAATATTACCTGGGATCCTATAGTAGTATTGGATTATATTGAAAAATGGTATCCATTAGAAACCTTGTCACTAGAAAAGTTAGTAAAAAAGTTAGTCATTTTGTTAACGTTGGCTTCTGGGCATCGAATACAAACTATCTCTAAAATTAAAGTTAAAAATATAGTACATAGGGAGAACGGTATAGATATTTATATTACCGATATGCTAAAAACATCAAATTATAATCGTCAACAGCCAGTGCTAAAATTTGATATATTTATCGAACGTCCTGATTTATGTATTGTAAAAACATTAATTAGGTATTTGGAAATAACTCAACCAATTAGGGGAAACGAAGAATATTTAATTTTAACCTATCGGAATCCTGTTCATATAGCATCTCCGCAATCTATAAGTCGCTGGATAAAAGATGTAATGAAAAACAGCGGTATAAATACTGACCAATTTAAAAGCCATAGTGTCAGACATGCAACAACGTCAGCGGCTGCTGGAACGGGGATGAACATTGATAGTATAAAGAATTTAGCTGGTTGGACGAAAAAGTCAGAAGTATTTGCTAGGTTCTATAACAGACCTCTGCAAAGTGAATTAAATTTTTTGGAGTCTATGTTAATGAATAAAAGCTAGTATATAGCTAGGGATATAGGTCTTACATTAAGGAATTTTTTTTCCTATATATATAATAAGAATGTTATATTAGTAGTATTAAAAGTATTTGAATACATATGGTTTGAATTAAAATAAGTTTTGCAATAAAAAGTGGTTCTATTACAGTGATCTCATTGATTATTATTTATTTGCAATACCAAGAGTTCCAAAAGAGTAATTATTACTTTCAATAACTACGTGTGTGATCTAATTGGACGAGTATAGCGAAGTATAATCAAAGGAACCAACGACTTACCTGTAGGAAGTTTGTTCCAGATTATATGAGCTATACTCGTCCAATTAGATTCCCACCCTGAACCCTTCCCGGGTAATTACTCTTTTGAAGTTCGACTTCAACAGTGTAATGATTCATATGCCTGGGCCGATAAGAAACGCAAGATAGATAGGTATTTTGTTTGTATACGGGGTACCTTTAAAAATGTTGTGCTCGACAAAGCATAAATGGTGTTACTACGTGTGTGATCTAATTGGACGAGTATAGCTCATATAATCTGGAACAAACTTCCTACAGGTAAGTCGTTGGTTCCTTTGATTAACTTGCTTGACACTGATTTTTTATAGAATAACCATATTATTTCCAGTAGAACTCAAACTCTATTTCAAATCTGGAAAGTTAAGTTAAACAATTAATATTGTGGTTTTCTCTCAATATCTTGTGATATTGCTGAGCATACCAGTATATTTTTGCAGGAAATCACCTCCTTGTTCCAGGTACTGTTTATAAAATATCCAAGGGAGCCAGTTTCTACCTCTACGACCCACACGCTGGAAAATTCATCTGTTGGAATAATAGGAGGGTCCATAAAAAGCCAGCATTAGTCGCACGAGTAAGTCGCAATGAAAGAATAAAATACTAACAAAAAGTATAAATAGCACCGTAATTTCTTTAATAAAATTTAACGCTTCCCAACTTTGTTCTTAGACTGGGCTGAGATATTCTTGGATTGCGAGTACCACTTTTGGATATATTTTGCGTCCACACTAGTTGACACAAAAAATGAGTTTTTTCACTGTTAACCCTAGAAATCACAATGCCTTATTAAGAACAAAAATACCTAGGTGAGTAATGTCATTTGAAATTGTACTCTATCAATTCCATTGTTTCAGTTTGACAAATGAACACCATCTTTCCGAATATTGAACGATTGAGATATAATAAATTCTGAGTATAGCTCCTCATATAGTTTCCGTTCTTGAATACCCCAATAATCGACATCATGTTAGAAGGTGGCTTTAAATGATAATAAAGACAAACTGTATACCTTTATCACCTTGGGTGGACTAGTCCAAACCAAATCGGCGTTAATGTAATTAGACATTTTGAAATATTTGTCAAATGGGTTGGAAATGTCAAGATCGTGATGTAAAATCGAGTATTTTGTAGTATATAGTGTCAGTGGTGAAAAATCTATATAAACCTCGTTTGAGAAGGCCATTATTAGCATGGCACATTATATACCTCGGCGCTACGCACCTCATGATAAAAAAGTTCTCGCCTAATAATGGCTGACTTGTCAAACATGGTAATGTAATGTACTATTATAAGAGCACAATTTCCATTAATATTTTACTTTTCTTATGCATTTACCGAAACACATCTCACAGTTTTTTAAACACCTTTCAAAAATGAAATTGTCACTTTAAAGCTTGAAAATCATATCGTTTGTGAATCACAAACCTGAATCAGTACCGCGTCTGCAGCAGATAGATATATGTGGTTTGGAGGAAGAATCACTAATCAAGTACCTAAGCTAAACGATCAAAATCAAACCAGTGTCGTCATTGACAATCATCGTGATGCTTAGTTATATAGTATTCGAGATGCAAGTCTTTCAAATGTTCCTTTTTGTTGCAGAAATACAAGTCTCAGTCGCTGCGACTGTGCGAGTTCAAAGACAAAGTATCCGATGACGAGTTTTTTCGCAACTCGCACGTCCACTTGTTATCGTCGTTCAATCAGGTACTGCGAATGAAGTTCAACAAGATGGGGCGATATTCGACGAAGAAGTGCACCCAGCAACGGCTGCGACATCGGTATGTACATAATCTAGCCCCCTTTCGGTAGTTAAAACAGACTCTCTATACAGGGTGTTTCATAACTTATCCGACAAATTTCAACCACATATGCGCTGTTACGAAAGAAGCTGATTTCTCAAAAGAAAATGTAATAAAAGGCCTACAGAAATTAAGTTATAAACCTGAGTTTCAATAATAAATTGTAAAATAAATATCTGAATTTTACGTTCATCGTCGTGATATTAGAACGCGCATTAATAATTTATTGTAGCAGATAATGTACCAAACAACTGACGAAAACAAAATACCAGGAATTTTTTGTTTTGCCATAAGGTATCATCTGTATCGTGGGTGATCTGAACGAAGAACGGTCGATTTTTGTGAAATTAAATAAGAAAGTATTTTGCGAGTTTATGTTTTTAGTTATTTATTAATAAAAATGGTACACTAATGACGGGCCAGTGTACATTGTTTTAGCATACGGAGAAGGAGGGCAAAATTCGCGAGCGGCTTCTCGTTTGTATGCACACCGATTTCCGAATAGGCACATACCGCACCACGAAACATTTAGTTTAATTGTTTTACGTGGAGTGCAGGGGGGTCGGGTTCGCCCACGTTGAATATTGTGGAGGAGCATCCGGGAATAAGCACAAGGCAGTTAGCCCAACAGGTCCCAGAAATGTGTCATACAATAGCGTGGCGCATATTACGTGAGGCCCAACTGTACCCTTATCACGTTCAGAGAGTCCAGGCGTTGCTACCTACAGACTACCCCCTAAGCGTAAGATTTTGTGAGTGGTTGTTGCAAGAAAATGCTCGAAATGCCCGTTTTACAGCTGATATTTTGGCCACCGATGAAGCTATTTATACTCGTAATAGGATAATCAATCCTCATAATACACACGTTTGGTTTTTTGAGAATCCTCACGCAATGGTCCAGACACACTTCCAACATCGTTTTTCTTTAAACGTGTGATCAGGTATTGTCGATGAACGTCTAATTGGACCGTTCATACTGCCAGATCGGATGGATGGCCACCAGTATTTGGAATTCCTTCGGAATGCTTTTCCGGTCCTTCTTGAAAATGTGCCATTGGCGGTTCGAGCACGGATGTGGTTTCTGCACGATGGAGCACCTCCGCATTTTCGTCCTCTGGGCAATTTTGAACAGCTTTTATAAGTAAGTGAACTGTTAACTGTATTATTTCATTATATCGATTTCTGTAGGACTTTTATTACATTTTCTTTTGAGAAATCAGCTTCTTTCGTAACAGCGCATATGTGGTTGAAATTTGTCGGATAAGTTGTGAAACACCCTGTATACTTGGTACCAAAACAGAAAAGAATAGCATAACACATCGTGCGCTGCGTGCGTTTGTACAGACAAAGATGGTGCGCGAGAATACCGCCGTATCCCAAACGGTGGCGTACAATGAGTTTTGCTGCTTTCCTCTGTTGTCAGAGTAGCGCAACACATGGTACGCCACGATTGACACTGTTTGTGCGGTAAGATCCGCGCACTTGAGCTGGGCAAAATCGTAACCAATTCCTTCGATTCTTTCACGATTCCTTTCAATTCCCATTCCCGTAATTTCAAAACATACCGTCCGTGCTAATAGTCTAATCATATTAGCAAATTCACCCGAAATAATTATAAGTTATTGATGCACGTTGTTCAAGGGGGTATTTAAAACATGGACGCATAAAATGGGTGCACCAATTTCTGTGGTAAAAGCTTTTATTCGACAACAAAGAATGAGAAAACAAGATTTTTAGGTATTTATGAGACCTTCAAAATGTAGACCACACGTAAAACGATCCGACTAATAGTAAAAAAGTTATGACTGAAAACGGAGAAAAAATGCAGGTGGCACTTGTTGGTAATGCGACGATAATTTCACGCAGCTTCTTGAAATTCTTCAAGTCCATAGGCTTCATACTTCTTGATAACCACAACAAAATTGGAGTCGTTTGGTTAAGTAGATTTTGAGAATTTCTAATTGTTTATCCCTAAACACCTGTCTACCGGCCATCACTACTAGGTTACTGAGCAATATAGAGGGATGGTTCAAAGGGCATCGTATAGCAAGTACATGAATTTACCTCACAAACCATTCCGAAAGATAATTGTTATTTTTATGCGAAAAACGAAGGGTTACATTTTTTTTAACAAATTCAAACATTTCGTATATGTGAGTAACTGAAAGATTCGCTACTATATTCGAAAAATATACGGTATTTTACACATGGCAAAACAAAGCGGTTGCATCTATCACCTTTTATTACGAAAAATGTTTTTCCAAGATTTCTTCGAACTCATATTTAGAGCTGAAATTTTTACTCGGTCGCAGATGAGCCTTAATAATAATAATAATAATAATAATAATAATAATAATAATAGTAATAATAATAATAATAATAATAATAATAATAATAATAATAATAATAATATTAATAATAGTAATAATAATAAGAATAGTAATAATAATAAGAATAGTAATAATAGTAATAATAATAATAATAATAATAATAATAATAATAATAATAATAATAATAATGATGATGATAATAATGTTTATTTCCAGCAGGCAGATACACCCAATTATAGGAAATATCAATAAATATCAATTAAGCACAGTAAACAGATACATAGATAAGAATAATAGTATATAGCTAAGTAATAATCAACCATAATATTCTACCTTAGAAGTTCTTCAAGGTAAAGTCCGATAACGCGAGATTTAGTGACATTAAATATGTCGCAGTTACTGATACTATTGAATATTGTACACATCCTATGCACGGGAGACTTCGACAAGACATTGTATGGCAGAAATCATAGTAAAATGTAGCACAATAACGGTTACCTAAGCGATGAACATTAAAACATATCTTACTTAAAATAGATGAACACTAACCTTTATTGTGGAGTAAATTGAACAAAAAAGACAGAGCGGAAATATTTCGGCGTACTTCAAGCGGTTTGATATCAAAAGTTTTGAGCAATACATTATGGTTGAAGCCTCTTTGTGGATAGAAACCATTGTATTTGAAGAACATACACTTTACTGCTCTTCGTTGAATAAATTCCAATCTGCTAATAGAGTTTTGATAAATAGGTGCCCATAAAAGCGATGCATATTCAAGCTTGCTTCTGACGTATGCTAGATATAGAAGCTTGAGTGTGTCAACGTTCGAGAAACCTGACCAGTTTCTAACACAGTACCCTAGCATTCGGAAAGCAGATGATGTAATGCTAATTATATGACCATTAAAAGTGAACTTGATATCAAATGTAACACCTAGGTCCTTATAACTGTTACTCCTTTCTAACCTTACCTGATTAAAACTGTAGTCATCATAAAGCATAACATTTCGTGTTCTGCAATATGTTACTACTCTTCATTTTGACACATTTAGTGTGAGGAGGTTTTTGGAACACCATGAATTGATAACTTCCAAGTTATTTTGAAGAAAATGACAGTCTTGGGAAGTTACGATATTATTATACCAGCAACAGCAAAAAAATAAATAATGACATTTAATCTCAAGCGACAAATCATTAATAAATATTATTAATCAATTATTAGACTTGTAACCACCATATTCTACGAATAGTGTTCTGTCCGAAAGATATGACTGGAGGAGCGGTAGTAGATTTCCAGAGAATTAATAATTTATGTAGTAATAAGGGATGGTTGACTCGGTCAAAGGCTTTTTGTATATCTGTATAAACTACATCAATCTGGCCTTGTTGATCCAGAGTCTTGACAACAAACTGGGTAAAACAAGCTAAATTAGATGTTGTTGACCGCCCAGAAACAAATCCATGTTGAAATTCAGCGACATGGGGCTTGAAAAGATCATAAATACGCTCATAAATAACTATCTCGAGTAATTTGCTAAAATTACACAAAATGACAATCTGACTGCTTATAGTTATTTCTGGCTCTAATTTTTTCTTCAAATTTCTCTTGATATCCCTAGTAAACCATATAGGAAACTTACGAGATTTATATCAAAATTTATGTACATTTTCATCGAAAATATGATAAATGTTATTATATAATATATCACAACCTTTGTTAACATCACTCACATCCTCTAAATTTAACCAATTTATGGTTGCATTGGCATTGTACAACTTAGGAAAATTTGCTCGACGATTGTATCGGGGGTAATTACTCAATTCAAAGGCACGTGTAATGTTGCGACCAAAAAATTCAAAATACAGAGCAGGATGATACAGATCTTCATTGATAAAGGGAAGACCTTCTCTAGAAACAGTTAAATTTGTAGTAGATAGTACCAAGTCAAGCAACCTTTCCTGATGAGTGACAATATCATTGAAATTGCTTACGTTTACAAAAGACAGAAATCACTCAAATACTGAGTTTTGCGTTCATTTATGGAACTGTTGAAACCAGGTACATTAAAATCGCCACATGATGATACTGAATGATCGAAAGCTCTGAATCAAAGACTCTAATGCATCTAAATGAAGCTCAAAATCTCCTGTACTTACAGACGGTCGAATGTAAACAGTGAATATTATAGAAGAACAGCCGAATTTAAACCAGATACATCCACGGCATTAAAGTTGAAAGTATTTTTTATAGCTATCAAGGTTCCACCACCCAAAGACAGATTAGTAACACTGAATTTTCGATCACATCTAAATACAGTATAATCCGATGGAAATAATTCGCTACTCATAATGTTCTCAGAAAGCCAATTTTCTCTCAAACAAATCAGATCGAATTCACAGTCACATGCAGCATTATAAAAAAGAGTTACCTTCGAGTTGAGACCTCGTACGTTTTGATAGTAACTTGATATCGATAGGCGTTTACAGCTAGTATCACTAGCGTCACTACTGCAATCAGGTACACGATTTAGTTTAAAGTAACTATTGTAGGACATTCACCAGCATACTTGATCTCCAGGTTCTGTTCACCTCTACTTAATCACTCATCAAGCTCAGCCTTGACGTGTCGATAATGTTCAATTTGCTTTGGTGTTCTGTCATATGAAACAATAACATTTTGAATATGTTGTTACTTCTTATATTCTTGGTCTTCTTCAATGCTGTGAACCATGCTCTCAGAGCCAAATACGACCTTGCGAGGCCTGCTAGACTGATCCGTGTACTTGCCCAGACGAATTACCTTGAATTGTGTACTTTGGGTGGAGCAGTCGGCAAGTTCTAAAATATCATGAACCTGAGTCTTATCACTTTGAATTAAAGCCTTAAAGTTTATAAAAAAATAGTCCATACTAAAATGCGCTGAACTGTTCATAAAGTTAGCACGCAAACTGAAGACAATTATGTTTCAAACTGTCTTAGACTAGTTAGTATGAAGCGTGTGCTAAATGGCTGCATTATTGATGACTGCATGACTTTGTCAAATAAGTAGGTCACTTACTCCAGTTTCTTTAGGAATAAATATATTTCCCTAGACTTTTTTTCTAAAAGTATTAATATAGTATACGTCTGTTTCCGAAATTTCATTCGACTAAAATGACTGCGCGTTCAAAATGTTGGAAAATAAACTCGAGAAAACGAAAAAACAGTAGACAAATATCAACCAATTGTAGCGAACTGACTGTCATAAAAATTAGGCAGAATGCTCGTTATTAGTTCCTAATTCATTATTTAAAGATTCAGCATTGTATCGTGTATAGTTTTCAAGAGTATTGTAATTATTTATAACAGATTTGAATGCTTCCAACGTTCGTATAAGGTATAAGGATCCAATAAACCAAGAGGCGTCACGTCGTAGCGTAATAGGAATGATTGACGCTTGCAGAACCGCAGGACGGAGGTTCGAATGCACAAAGCTCCTTTTTTCTTTTTTTTAATCTGGAGTAATTAATGATTTTCACATTATGTGTAATTTTATTATATATTACCTGAGAGAGAGAGAGAGAGAGAGATAGAGAGACTTATCGGTGAAATGTCTCTATTCACCTTTCGCTATTGAAAGCTTGTTTAATGCACTACGTATTAATTACCTCAAGTTAGTGGTCAAACACAATGTACAGCTTAATACAGAGAATACGAAAAAATAAGCGGCATTATGGTTGCTGTGGTTAATAAATACAAAATGTCAATGAATCTTTCATATAGCTTCATTATATGCACAACAATACAAATGTTAGATGCAAAAAAAGAATTATGTCACACAAGATTTAATTGAAATTGCTTAATTCCCGATTTATTGTATGTTTAACTCTCACGTTGTGTTAGGACATTCCTCTTTCTTATCACTCTCGAAAAAGGAGATTGCGTTATGCTGCCATAATACAAAAATACAATCTACGCAAAAAATGTCTACGCTGATGATGAAATGAGCATCTACGCTCAACATTAACTTGATATATACAAAAACTGTTGGTTAGCTCACTTAATTTTATAAACATCCTCTGCGGCTCAAATATCTACCTGATTTGACCGCGTTCGAAAACTTGAGCGTATTATCACAAACAAAATTTTGGATGTCTTTTGTTATTGTTGATTAATAATTTATACTTCTAAGATATCTATCTTGAAAAATTATCTTCTAAGATCCATCATAATGTTTCTGAAATTTTATCAAAGTAATTTAAAAAAAAAATACAAGCTATCGTACGTATACTCCTGGTTTCCTGTTTGCACGCTTACATTGTCTATGGCGTGCGAAACACTGTTTGATCGCAATAAAATTACACATACTGTGAAAAAGCATTTCCTTCTCCAAATTTTAAAAAACAATAGAGAAAAAAGGAGCTTCATGGATTCGAACCTCCGTCCTGGGGTTCTGCAATCGTCAATCATTCCCGTTACGCTACGACGCCTCTTGGTTTACTGGATCGTTTTTCCACTATACTTGGCAAATTACAGTACTTTGAAAACTATACAAGATACAATGCTGAATCTTTAAATAATGTATTAAGTACTGATAATAAGCATCTTGCCTTTCGATTTTATTTTCTTATATTTTGAACTCGCAGTGGTTTTAATCGAACGAGATTTCGAAAACAGACTTATACTATATTAATACTTTTAAAAAAAAGTCTAGTGAATTATATTACTTCGTAAAGAAGCTGGATTATGTGACCTACTTATTTGACAAAGTCATGCAGTCATCGATAATGCACCCATTTAGCCTATGCTACATACCAACTAGGCTAAGACAGTTTGAAACATAATTGTGTCTTCAGTTTGCGTGCTAACTTTATAAACAGTTCAGCGCATTTCAGTATGGAATATTTTTGTATAAACTTTAAGGCTCATGTTTAAAAATTTTAGCTCCAAATATGTATAAACAAGAGTATGAAGAAATGTTGAAAAAAAATTGTTTTCTTCGTAACAAAAGGTGATAGACACATCCGCTTTGTTTCAAAATGTAATAATAAGGTACGTTTTTCGAATATCGCAGCGAATCTGTCCTGTTACTCACATATACGAAATGTTTGAATTTGTTTAGACGAAAAAAAGTAACCCTTCGTTTTTTGCATAAAAATAACACTTATCTTTCGGAATGGTTGTGTAAATTCGTGTATTTTGCTATTAAATGTACTTTGACCGAACCCTGTTTTGCTCAGTATACTAGTGGTGGTGTCCGGAAGACAGGTGTTTTGGGATAAGCAATTAGAAATTCTCAAAAACTACGTAACCAATCGACTCCAATTTTGTTGAGGTTATTAAGAAGTATGAATCCTACGGATTTGAAGAATTTCAAGTGGCTGCCTGAAATTATCGTTGCATTAGCAACAACTGCCAAAACCTTCATTTTGCCTCCGTTTTTGGCCAATACATTTTTACTATTAGTGGTACATTTTTAAGTGTTGTCTCATTCTGTAGGTCTCATATATACCTAAAAATCTTAATTGAAGAGTGTTTTCGTTTCTGCCAACACTTTCAATTGGATCCCAAAAAACGGGTTTTCTGGTTCTTTGTTGTCGAATAAAAAGTTTTCCTACAAAAATTGGTGTACCTATTTTTATGCGTACATGTTTTAAATACCCCCTTGAACAACTTGCATCAATAAAACGAGACTTTACAATTATTTCGCAAACCAAGGGTACTTTCCTCTAATATGATTAGACTATAATGAGCACAACAAAGGAACTGCATCGCAGTAGGAACACATTACTATCGATTTCTTTAGTCTCGATTCGTGAACCTAAACGCGATGGTTTCGATACCACCACTTGCAAAACCACTGGATTCATTTTGAAGGAAATACATGATTCTATGGATTCGGATATTTCTTGACTTTTAAAGGTTCCAAATGAATAACGGCATACTATCTGCATTACCTACCTGCTGTGGATACATTTTGCCATTGGACAGTTGCGGGGATTGAATCCTGGTATTAACTGATACCCTACACCCGCATGTTACCATGTCGATTAGAGCTTTTTATACAACTTACGGTTCCCTAATGGAAATTATGTATAATTGTTCACATTTTTATGGCAATAAGTGGGTTTAGATCTGAAATTTAACATTTTGTGACTTGCTGTTCGGTTTTGGGCTAACAGACTGTCCATTGGCGGACGAGTGATTTAAAATTGTATTTGCCATTCCTTGCGTTAGAGATTTTTTTTATACTCCAACTACCACGAAGGCCTAAGGCCTAAATACCCATTGGGTACCGTGGGGCTATAGGGGGATACAGGGGAAAGGGGGAACGCCACACAGACTATGGCGAGGAAACACGTGTGCATGCAACATGCACACATTCTGGCTCCGCCTACGAGATCCGCCGGGTGGTACCTACGCGTTCGACAGTCAGAGACCGTCTACCACCTACGGACAATCACAACATACATAGCCAAGACAAACATTTTTCCTGGGACGGGATTCGAACCCGCACAGCGCACGGCGACTGATCAGGAGACCGAAGAGTCTACTACTGCGGCCACCGCTGCTGCCTGAACCTAGTTTTGCTGCCTAAAGTGCTTTAGATATTTTTAATCTATATGACTAAAGCTTTGCCAGTTTTAAATACAAACATTGTGAAGTTAGTTTTTTGCAGATAGTCTGATCCGGACATATGGACGCGTATCTTTACGCTTGCGCCTTACTCAGTCACCTACCGATCTGAGTATACTAATACGTGACGTCAATTATACGAGATTTTAATTTTTTAACGAGTGGGAAGTATATTGTGAATACACTTAATGCCAACCTTATTTTTATTTTGGCTTCGATTGATCTCTCCATTTTCTTGCAGATACAAGAAGTGCGTGTCAGCCGCAGCCTTCCTGTTCATCCCAGTGGAGAACAACGAGGATCACGGAGATCCCTGCGCATGCCCCGAAGCGAGGCAACATTTCTGCCATACGGAACTCCGGCATATGAAGGAGTTGCGTGAGATATGCAGCAGGGCGAACGAGACCTACGAGGTGTAGGCGCCCCTTAAGCCACGATACTACAGCGTCGACAGTTGTGCGCATGCGCGACCGAAAGTGAGTCAATGTCAAGGTCGCGCGATGACTACTTACACTTTCCCGTTAGGTAGGCTAGCCGAGATAGCATAAAACAAGAGGTTTTTTATTGAATATATAGAGTGTTTGAACGTCTCGGGTCCATATTGCAGGAGCACCTCACCAAGATCTTGCATTTTCTTTGAGCCCGACCTTGCGTTTTTCCTCTGTGAATGTCACTTTGATCTTGAGTCTGTTTTTTCCAAATTGGAGTCCATATTTTTGAAATTTGACTCACACTGGCTACTCCTCAAAGAATTAAAATTAAAATATAAGATGATCAAATCACATGCAGACTTAAAATTGTATAAATTTCTTGTTTTTGGAATTAAACGTATGAGGATGCTTAAAAATGGCAGTCAGCACCAAAATAACCTCAAACACTTAAGTCAACATTATAATTTTCATGTTTGAAATTTTGCCTGCGACTTGTTTTTCTCAAGTTGTATTATGTCACTGAGGGCCTCTCGAACACTCTTTATAGGTAGACCTGATAACTAGCAATGGTCGTGTGTGATACTGAGGAGGGTATATCATATCGGTCAGCTTCGTGGAGTTCACAGACTTTTTATGTAAATTCCCGGTGTATGAAAATCAAAGACATTACAGATAATTGAAAACCTTCAGTCTAATTGGGTTACCGCTTCGTTTTCAAACTTTTCAAAACACTTCATTTTCATTTCAATCCTGTATGTGATAAATAATCCATCTGCAGAACCCTGCATAACCATTACTATTTCTCAGATCTGCCTAAAGACTGCTCAAACACTACTTGGACTAGCCTAAAACTCGCACCATCGACACATAGGCCAATCAGCAAAAAATTGTAGACCTTCTCTGTAGAACAATAAAATTCTCAAAATGTTTTTTAGTAGAAAACATTGGAATCAAACATTTCCCAGATAAATAAATTTGGACCGTTTCAAGGGAAAGTCACTGATTGGCCTGATGAGCAAGTATGTTCTGTTACATGTAGACTGAACAAAAATTTGCTAAAAAGTGCTTTGAATGAGTATCGGAAGAGAAAGGCAGACGTCGATACATAATCAAAAATTGTAAATGGGAATTTGCTAGGTTTGTATCTGCCCTGATATTTGAATCATTCGTATAGCTTTTTACAACGGACGTAAGTATAGATGATATCAAATTAGTGATTAATTTCCAAAAAAAAAGTGTTTTAGAAATTCATATATTCCAATGAGGCAAGGTTCGAATGCTAACGTCTCTGGTATGTCTCGGGTTGTAGGATAAGGGATATGAGATGTACCTATATTGAGAGTAAGGATAACCTTGATGTGTTTCCTTCACGTTATGAGTTTCAATAACACTACGAATTAGCCTAAACAATGCTATAACAATTTAGCTCTCTCCCTCTCTCTCACAGTCAGTAGCCCACCGCCCGAGCCAAAAAGATGACCCATCATACTTTTACAGCCCAATGTACGCCTAGGTCTTAACAGCCTAGATATCTTATGAAAACCATATCTCCTTGTATGATTTTATATCTTAGGGCAGTGTAGTAGACCCTGAATCATCCATGGGCCTAAAGCTCCATGTCATCAAGAACGTATTATTATAAAAGATAAACAGTTTTAGCGTTTTCTCTAGCTTTCACTTTTCGTATGAGTGAGTATGATCTTAAAGCCTACCTTCGCTCTCCTAAGGTCACAATTTTTCTATGCATTTTTTCCTTTTAGGACAGTATGTTGCCTATGTCAGTCATGTCTACCGTCTCTTCATGTTGTTTTTCGTTGCGAGATGACTTCCAGGCACAAGGGCTTTTCAACGTTTATATCATTGTGTAAGAAATGTCATATTCGAATTTATTAGTGCGGAGAGCAATTAATATGAGATAAATCTATATAATCAAATGATGAACTGAGGAATTTGCCAGAGAGATTTCACAGAAATAGTCAAAAAATGGCAGAAAACTTGATGCGGCAAGTCATGCCTGCCTCACAATAAAGAAACAATCAAAAATGGAATGAACCGAAGTTGGTAAATCATTTCTAATGGCGATCTTTGACAAATTTAGACTTTCTGGAATGTTCACTCTCCCACAGTTGACCAATGTAGAAAAAAACAGTATTTATAGCTACAAGCATAATTCGCTAACATAACACGATTTGTAGCATTTATAACTTGAACTAACGCTTAAACGCCGATATCGAGTAATACAGCATTCCAAAAACTTGCCGTTGCATTCCCAAATCCAGTTTTGTAAAATGACGAAAAAATAAAACGCTTATTCATGAAAAACGGGCCTCGCCTTCCCCGCTTATTCAAAGATTATACATTATTGGCAACGATATTTTCCATTAATCATCTACGAAAAGTGGTAAAATGATGCGCAAAAATCTTTATCACTTTTGCAACTTTTCTTAGCTTAGCCAGAAAATTATGTTTGCCAACCGTGTATCCAAAATTGAGTAGCCAAGACGGATGCAGAACATTTCTACTATCTATTTGCGACACAAACTAATCTTGCTTCTTTAGCGCTACTTGACACATGATGCCGGAAGTTGCCTCAGGATGTTATAGGGGCCTTAGTAAGATATCGAATTCAAGTGATTCGGTCAGTGCAAAAACCACTTGATTTTATGTTTGTACCAACGTACCTTTTTACAGAAGATGCTTTATTAAAGCTTCCTTCCCTGTGAAATAATACCACGAAATACACACTCGACGGTAGGCGCTTGAATGGGTCATTTCAAAAACAGTACCAGTATCTCTGTATTGTTTTATTTGCATATTTATGTGCTATATGCACCAAAATATCAATTTTAAATCCATAAACTACAAAAATAAGAGACCTTAAAAGCTATGCCCGAAATCACTTATTTAACCATTGACTCAATCCTCCTCATGAATGGCTAAGAAAGTCCTTTGAATATATGCTAAATATTTCAAATAGCTGTTCGAAAAGATAGTAATATAAAGAAGGAATTACAGGTACAACACCTCTAGCAATGTGAATTTTTTTGTTAAAATACATTCTCATGCCTCATAGTCAAATAATCCCTTGGGCTCTTCTATAACCAATTATCAATTACTGAAGAAAGTTGGACGAATACGTCTGTGTATTTTTACACAATGGTCCATTCATGGTTTAGCTATGAATACGAGAATTTTTCTCAAGTGTTCACTTTGCCCGGGTTTTCTTATGTATCCTTAAAATATTAAAACATGCATTAAAAGTGTGGCATGTTAATAGATCAATATTTGAGTGTAGCAATGAAAAGTGTGATTAATATTATTCGTTTGCTTAATTATACTACTTGCTAAAACATCGTAAGCTCATGCCACTTTTTCAGACTTTTTCCATTATTATTGTTGATAATAAAATGTGGAAGTTATTCGGAATTTCAATTCTTTGGAACAATAATACTACCTTGAGCCCAAAAATTACTTTGAAATTGATTTATTTGTCACATTTTATCTGCTCCCGTAAACTTCAAGTTAAAGACTTACAAGGCTTTGCAGTGATTGATTCAAAAAAATTAAATGAAAAATGCCATTTATATGCTAAAAACATAATCGACTGTAGCGGATTGGCTAAATCTAGCTTCATTTTGCTTTTCAAGGCCTCTATCACCCGCTCCTATTTCGGCATCATGTCCAACAATCTATATATCTGGCAATAATGATGTGCTTTAGTAGTTTTGTATATTTGTGTCCCAATTAGCAAGTCATATCTGAACCAATGACAGTATTTGTATTACTAAGGGCATTATAGGGTCCATAGTAGAATGTATATAAGAAACAATTAGAAATTTAATTTTTATATGGTTTTTCGACTGATGTGCAAACGTTAATTGAGGCATCGCTACCACGTTGGTTTTTTTTTTTAAATAAAAAAATGCAATGTATCACAACATTAATATGCAGGTATATTCTACTTGCAAATGATATTATCTCAGATATTACTTTACATTCCACATTTAACTTCGTACTTAAATATTCTACTTAAACAAATACTTTAATTTATATGTACTTAAAGCATCAGTATTGACCCAGTATTTGTATTACGTACTACGGCGTGCATAGTAGACTTTGATAGGTTAGGTATTTGGAGCTAGTAGACATATTAAATCTGACTTTGTAATTTGGTTCTCAAAATATAAATAATATACCTATTAGGATGATACATCAACAATATTTTATATTAATAATTCATAAGGACCAGATAAAGATGTAGAAAAACTTTAATTAAAATATCTCGGCATACCAACCGTGATATGCAAGATTTACGAGGGGTTCGCTATTATTTTAACAGACCCATATTTCTTAATATTATTGCTTTACTTTGAAGAGTCTTTTTGGAAACCACAGTGGCGAAGATTTATTTTTGAAGAACGTTGCCTACGATACGTACGTGGATACGTTCTTTGATCTTGACATTCTGAGAAAAATAAAGGAATTATTTGAAGGTGGTTTTTCTTTCTAGCCTTGAATACGCGGAAGTCAAGATCAAACTCAAATCCAAGTTTATCACTAAGCTAGCTGCAGTAAGTCCACAACTTTAACAATTTACGCAGATTCTTGAATACTCTGTATAATGGTGAAACACAGTGGGAGGTATCCAATATACCTTGAACATTCCGCATATATTTAGATAATCATTAAATTCATTATAAATATCTCTCAAACTAGATAGCACATGTTATCCCAGAAGCAAAGCTAGGATGCATCCTCATACTTTGAACCCCACCCAAGAGTTCTTAAACGTGTATCTACAGTGGTTATTGATTATCAGTAATGACATGAGATGCAGCCATAGCAATATTCCACTTATTTATTACCTAATATTGCGCAAATGAATAGCTTCTATGTTACCGACACAATACCTACCTTAAGAACATCTTAGAAAATTAATTGTAAAACTACTACGGTCCCTGATTGATGCTGCCATAATATTAAATAGCTGCACATGTGTTCAAAATGGCCATTAGGGCCAAGGTTTACAGCTGGAAATAACTGAATTCTCCACATTCAAATGCGAAAAGGAAGAACATACCAAAGATGACAAATTGTATAATAAATTATTGTTTTTAGTGTTAGGTATCGTTTAATTTAAGCTGGTTTCAAAATGATTTATAGTCTATTATGTTCGCGATCATTTGCTATTTAAATTCATGGTACAGGGCGTTATGAAATTCGTATTCCAAGGCAATCTTCACTATTTAATTTTATGTATGATGACTTGAGGTACAAACTCGTGGCAGTAGCTGTAGACTAGAATCAAAACACTAAAAGACATCGGCAATAAAATTGGATGATTCAGGTCCTGATTACTTCTAATATCAGTCATTCATCATCAATAATAGTAATAACAGTATAATCATTACTATTTTTTGTCTATTGTGTTGGTTTGATATACTGTTATAAAATCCAACACATGGATGATCTAGGTTTGTCGATTCAATAAAAGGTCTTGGTTTGACTAATTGACTAAAGTCCTCGACGGCGCTGCAGCCTCCAAGTCTCATTGGACCTTATTCCTTGTAATCTACATTCCATTAACCCTTCAATTCTCCTATCAGCTGCTATAGTCTCTGTCTATGCTTGACCCCATCGGATCTTATTTTGGTTGCTTTTTGTGATCTAGAGCTTCACACTGTTAGAAGACATATGAAAGGCTGATTGTATTCCCCTACGGCTTTTCTGCAGTTCAGGTCTGCAGCATAGAGCCCTATTTTGTGCAGGTCGTCTATCAGGCCGTTGCATCCTATTAGAAGATCTGTAACTATGAGTGGTTGGGTTCTGCTCATTGAAAGTAGTTCCTCTACAGTTTTCGAGCTTGGTCGCAAAATAAATTATTTAATATGCCTGCATACAGACTCCAAATTTCAATATTCCTTATACTGTTGTCTTTATCATTATTTAACTTGGTTCCTTATTGGCCTTTTTGGCACCCAAAAACAGATTGTGCTTCAAAAAGCTACGGTTTATTTAAATTAATGCACGATAATCATTTGTGCATCAACTCAAGACCTAATTTTTATCATAGTATGATAATATATCGTTATTCCGAAAAATTGATAGAGGAGATTACCTGATAAACATATAAAAGACTTTGGATTTGCATTTATATCATTACTCCGTGGTTTCACCAGAAAACGCGTAATCAATAAATTCAGTTCCTACACCTTCAGTCACTCCGCGACCTGACCAGTCACACCAATGTTTGTACTGTGGCTCAGATTTTGAGCGTTTTCTGATCAATGTAGCATTTAAACGTACCTTTATGCCTTATTTATTGACCATCCTTCTACATAAAATCTAATAAAATCCGTTCAATCAAAACAAGAGCACGATCTAAAAAATGTTGAAATGAAAATAAACTGTTATATACATATTTCCAAATAAGATTTTCCTTATGACTATACACATTATTCAAGTATTCGAATTAATGGATTCTGCGATTTTTTAGCAAAAATGTGGCTAGCCTTGTCTCATTATTAAAGTAATCTAAAATCTACATTCTGCATGGACATTCCTTACGAAGACCAGTTTTAGCTGGTGCATATACTTAATTATTCGCTATATAATTATACAGGGTGTTACCTAGATTGTGATCCGTCTTGGCTGCTCCCTTATGAAAATAATTAAAGTGTAATTGTTCATAGTTTCTGTATATGATAAAACGTCACCGTGTATCTATATTTGTACAAATGTTAAAAAATTTTATACGATATTTTAATTTATTTTTAATATAATTTAACTCCTTGTATTATTTGTGAATTTATCTTTATATTTAGGTTCCGAATGTGAGTGTACAGTATTTCTCCTTATGTTTGACCCCTATGGGGTTTTCTTAACACATTCTAACTTTTGTATATTATTATTTATTTTTATGAATATATTTATACATTGACACCAGAAAATAAATGTTGTAACCGTTTCGATTTTTGTTAATAGAAAACAGAGAAAATGGTGTCCACCCATGTTTTAATGGTTCTTTTATTATACAAAGCGAGTAATTGAAAAATAAAAAATAATGACTGAGGCCCTTTGATAATAATGTAAAAAATATATATGTCTATCTGTTGTTAACTCGCCTCATTATTGTTATATAAGATCTGTAGGCATGATTTGTCTTAATTAATAAAATACATTCCAACTCGTATGCATTTACAATAAAAGTAATGAAACTAACATTCAGGTCTTTTATTTACTACAGTCTGGTACGGAAGATTTGAATACTCTCATCCGTCCTGGTACCCAAGTATATTCTCGTGTAAGATGTGTCACTGTGAGCTATAGAGAAGGTAAGTAAAGAGTATGGGTCCGTAGCAGATCAAGAAACTGTATTGGCTATACTGCGAATTACAAAATTGTTTTGAGTCATCCGCACCTCACCACTGCGTCGTGGAAATCCCGTGCAAATTCCTGCAACCAGTCACACAGCTTCAAGTGGGGGCATATACATTTTCATTATGGGTATCCTTGATTTCCTTAAAATATTTTATAAGCAGAACAGAACTAAAGTATATTATAGTGTAGGCCATCCGACTGCAGGCAATGATTTTAACAAATAAGCGATTTCACGCGGTGACTCAAAAATCAATCATGTTTTCAGTGCCTGTCAGTACTTAGGTTTCGGAAAAATCTGAAAGGTTCAGCCTGGCCCCAATCAACGTTAAAAGTAGAACGGTACGGCGAATGTTAGTGTCCGAATCAGGTACCTCCCGGTGTGTAGGTTAACCTATTCACAAATAGAATTCGAAAAGCCGAAATTCGTACTTTCCTACAGCAATAAACTATTTATAGATTTGATGTTAGTTTATTGTGAAAGTCTTCGAAATGCTATTGATACTTCGCGAGTGAATTCAGATCGTTATACTGGATGTTTGAATCCCGAGCTGCGGAGGTCTCTTTATATCGTGCAAAAGTTGTCGATGCGGACGCAGTAGAAAACTTAGACAGCCCCAACTGTTGCAAATCCAGAAAGAATTTGACAGACACATGTGTTTGAATCCAATAGGGCAATTATAAGCAGTATTTACGAGCAAAACATGTGACAATTCAGTACTGCAAATTCCTCATCAAATGAATTAATTTCTTTATTTACGTTTTCGCTGCTAATTTACTTTGTCATTTCAAGCGTTGTTGTTTGTAAAAATGAGCTACCCAACTTTCAGGTCACCCTGCATAAATCAACGGTAAATCAAACTTAAAGATGATCCGAATGGTTGGGCGCTCCATGCCGAGTTATGTACCGCATATATGTACTATAGTTTCGTAAGAAGAAATCACGTTCAACTGGTGAGTTGTCTAGAATCAAATAATAATGGTTTTAAATTAATCCAGCCTAAAATACTGATCGGCGTATTGTAGGTAACCTAAACAAAAATTTTAATGCATTGGATATGGTTTTTTTTAAGGTTTTCCAGACCTTACATCGCTTAAAACTCTAAAACGATCAGCTACCGCGTCAGGATTAGTGTATAGTTGATGCAAGGCACTGCGCGACTAAAACGAAAATTTTGTTTATGCAACAAAACTTAAATCAATGATATAAATGTCTAGCGTATTTGAGGATTACCGGGTAATTTTCCAAGGTGGCTCACCCCAATAAGTTTTTTATTATTGAAGATAGAAAAACGAAATTTGGGGGCTACGTATTATATATGAATTTACATTTTTTGAGATATTCACTTGCATTGATGTACTTCCGGTTTGACCAGAAACGACTCCAAATTTTTAAGTGGGACATCCTATACCTATATTTTTACTGATTTCGATCGAGAATGACATTCTGAACTCAACAGCGCCTCACTTGTCAATATTTGACGAATAAGATCATTTTTATATCAATTTTTATTTTTCGATTTAGAATGCCATGGATCCTGTAAATCGCTTTATTTTTCAAGTAAATAAACGTTACAAACACTAATCTTCTCATTTTACTTGATTTTTTCAAATAGAAAGAAGGTGGCTCGTCGGCTTCTTCTAAGAGACCATTTTCTTACGAATAGTTTGACACTACACACTCTCATTTTATTTTCACTATTTTTATGAATAATTGTAAGAAACGATCATACCTAATAACAAATAACACGTATCTGCATTCGGTATACCTATGCACTAAGTCCTATTATTCGTCGAAAAATTAACAATGAATTAAAAATAACCGTATTTATCAAATATTGACAAGTGAGACGTTGTTGATTTCAGAATGGCATTCTCGATCACAATCAGTAAAAATATATAGGGTGTCCCATTTAAAAATCAAAAGCAAGTGAATATGTCAAAAAATGAATATTTATCTATAATAGAGGAAAGGAACCAAATTTGAGACAAGCGCCTAATTTGAGACAGTGGTGTAACTTTGTATCTTTGTAGCAGCATCTTCTAGTAATACAAAAAGTTATTATTATTATTATTATTATTATTATGATAATTGAGATGAGCAGAGTACACAGTACTATAAGCTCATGCAGTAAATATAGTGTACGGACACGAAACACAAATACATCAAATAGAAAAAAATAAAAAAATACAGTTCATAGCTATAAAGTTTGTACACTCCTCCAGCTATCATACTGCACTTTGAAGCTATTAACTGAAGTAGCACCAACCACACTTTCAGGTAAACTATTCCAGGTGTTGAGTATGCGGTTGGGAAGAAACCACTGTCGGACTGTTGTTTTAAATGGCTCCTTATGCAGTTTGAAGCTGTGTCCGCGTAGATTGCTGCGCGACAGATGGTATAGATGCATGAGGTTGGTGCCCATCAAACCATGAAGTATCCTGAACGTAACTATAAGATCGCCACGAAGTCTTCGCTCAGAGAATGAGGTCAGGTTGAATAATTCAAGGCGATCTTCATAGCTTGGTCTTCGTGCTCCAAAAGGGATACGAGTAGCCCGACGCTGTACCGATTCGACGAGATTTCTATCGCGCAGAAGCACAGTGTCCCATACCGGGCCAGCGAATTCAAGAATTGGCCTCACGAATGCCTTGTAAATGTAGGCGCAAGTGTTGACATCGGATCCTTTGAAAGACCTCTCCAGCATATAAGTTTTTTGGCTTTTGATGTAACGTGGTGAATATGCTCTGACCAGGAAAGACGATCGTTGACTACAACGCCCAGATCAGTGTGGCTCGAAACTGCTTCGATGTTGTGGTCAGAGATCTTGTATGTAAATCGCGGATTTGTCTTCCCGAGGTGAAGGACACAACACTTAGTTAGATTTAAGGGTAAAAGCCAACTGACTGACCATTGACAAACAATATCAAGATCTCGTTGAAGCATAGCAGAATTTACGACAGTATTGTAAATCTTGGTGTCGTCGGCATAAGCTGAACATGTGGAGGAAATCAATGCGGGCAGGTCACTTGTATACAGAAGGAACAGCACTGGCCCCAAGACAGAGCCTTGAGGAACTCCACTTGCTACATGATGAAGGTGAGACTGGCTATCACTGACGCGCACAGAGAAAGTCCTCCCGGTGAGAAAAGCCTTAATCCACAGTAACAACTCGCCTCTTATTCCCATACATTCCAACTTAAACAGAAGCCTTCTATGTGGTACGCGATCGAAAGCCCTAGAAAAATCTAAGTAGATTATATCAACAGGAGTCTTTGTGTCCAGATACTGAGTCCAATCGTTGAGAGAGTGGAGAAGGTTGGTCATTATTGATCGACCAGGGAGAAATCCATGCTGATTCTTAGGGATAAGGTCATTTTCGAAAGCAAATGACTGGAGCTTATCTAATATGATTCTTTCAGCTATTTTGGCGGCGATAGGAACGAGACTTATTGGTCGATAATTTGTAGCGGAGGATTTGTCGCCCTTTTTGAATACAGGGGTAACAGAAGCACTAAGCCAGCATGAGGGTAGGGTATGAGATCTAAAAGACGATGTGAATATCAAGCTTAATGGTAGGGCCAGTGCTGAAGCGCAGTTTTTAAGTACAGCAGCCGTCATCCCATCTTTACCAGGGGAGGAAGAGGTCTTCAGATTTCGCAGGTGCATTAATACATCTTCAGGCAGGAACTCAACTTCGCAAAGGCTGTTGGGACACCTATGGCAGATAGTGGTCGGTAGAAGGTCTCCATTAGGCTCATCAAGTTGTGAACTAAGACGCAGTAGTATTCTACATATGTTTACAGTTTAGTTTTGCACATGGTTTGCTGTGACATCACAACTTGTTACTTCTTGAGAGTTAAAAATATTTTTAATAGTGCGAGAAAAGTGATTACTAAAATTAAGGTAAGTTACTTAGAACAGTTGTCTGATATAAATTTAGTAGTTCACAAATACCTTATTTATTTTATTTTACAATATTGTGATTTTATTAGGTATATAACCTAAATATCCTTGTGTAAACTGTTTAACGGAAAATTCCCAATTTGAGTCACCCCTGGAAACACAAAAGTAAGGAGATGGATTATTTAAAAGCCTCAAAAGGATTCGGATAGACACCTTTCCCCACCATTTCAAGTTCAGAATGCAGCGGAACCCTTAAGTTGGATGATTCATCTTCAGACGAAAGCAAAATGAAGGCGATGCTGAATGTTTTTTTTGTACGGTTCGATAAGAAGGGTGAAAAATGGTCAAAATACAGCCATTGTAGTAGATGGGCACATTTAAATTGTGAAGAGATTACCAATAAAATTTTCATTTGCACTTTCTGCAAAAGAAAGGGATTTTTTTGAATAGTATCTCAAATTAGGGAACCATCTGTAAATTCACAAAAATATTTATTTTTTTAGAATATACTTTTTATCTATAAAAGAATACACTTAATATTATTTTTTTATTTTAGAGTATGCTAGGAGCATAAAATCGGGTTTATTTAGAAATATACGCTCGTTTAAAACAACAAGTACTTTATTTTTCCGTTTCCAAAAAGTATCTCAAATTTGGTTCCTTTCCTCTACGCAACCCCCAAATTTCGTTTTTCTATCTTCAATAATAAAAAAGTTATGGGGTTGAGCCACTTAAGAGAATCACCCGTTATGCTTAAGGCTTCTTGCATATATCTGGAAATAATAAAGAC